CTCCCCCCCCCCCCCCCCCCAAATATATCACCTTTACTTTAAACACTTCATACATGAATCTCTCACATTTCTCTCCAACACTTATCCGAGAAATAACCTGCAGTCAAGAATATTACACATGATTTATGTTTCACTGTTACATCATAATTTGCAGAAACTGAACTACTGAAGGCAGGGTAACTTAATTAGGAGGAACAATTAACAAACCTGGCCCTTCTCTTCTTTGAGCAGGATAGCATAAGCCAAAATAGCCTCCTTGTACTGCATATGTAAAGTTTAGGGAGACTGAAATCATTAAAGGTCAGAATACATAATAACGAGGTTGGAAAGAAGAAAACCTATTTTGGCAGAGCAGTCCCCCATAAACCACACAAAAACAATTCATAATTGTTTATATTTACAAAAATTGAATCAATTCCACCAAGGAAGTATTTCGTGATCTGATTTTCAGTCTAGGAAATTCACCATCTAACCACAATTTGATTACATGGTCCTACAATGTTTTCCCTGCCAATTGACGCAAGAACATTTACAAAATCGCCAAACAAAATCATTCAAAACCTTCAAATAATTTTATAAAAACCAAAAAAACATAAAATAAGCACCACTTAATCGAATAATTAATTCAGCAGCATTGGCTGTTTTTCCCCCACAAAACGTCAGAGTAAAGTTATCCACATAACGCACAGAAAGCATAAGAAAGGAAGTTTCTCACTTGCTGCTGTTCAGAAGCATCTAGAAGAAAATGCACTGAGCCAAAGCCACTTGCCAATGTTTTTTCATAAAGTGTCTTGTTTACTAAAAGCTGCAATATAACATTGTTGACAGTTCAGATATTTTCCATTCCAGAGATTGTAGAAGAAAGAGCTATGCTCTCATAATCTTCTAGCATAATAATCTCTGATATCCCAAGAAAAGATGATGTTAATTACCTGATACCGATCCCATGTCTGTTTGTAGCCTAGAACCACACGACTCCCATATATTATTAGAGCACTTATGGCAACTACATCAAGTAATATTGCTGATCTGACATAAAAATCAAAGTAAATATTTATTACAAGCGCTCAACTGGTATAACTTCTAAGCTGGAATTACTAGTGAAAGATAGAAATGAGGTTGGTTAAGGAATTAAAATTAGAAAGTTTATTAATTATGAAGTGTAACAGCGCATTCCCCATGGTTCCCCATGCAACTTCCCAATAAAAAAACTTGCCACATTTAATTCCTTATACATTCTTCACAGGACCCATATACATATAAATATCCAAACAATAAACATTACAAACTCTTATCGTAGGAAATGAGAACTATAAATATCCAAACAAAAAATTTTAGTCTAAATAATTTTAAATTCTCCTAAAGATTACTTTCCCTTCTTAAAATACTCCATCCAAGCACACCATTAGGAATATTATATGAAAGTATGAAACTGAGAGGTACACACGGGGAAGATAAGACATTCTCAAATTTGTAGTTTATGAAGTATGCCAGAAGTCCCAAAATTGAGGCAGCATCCAAGCGCACCTGTAAGTTTACCGTTAACAGTTACAAGGATAAACATATGAAAGTAAAGATACCTTTATAATATCATAATATTAGCTCACCATTATATTATCATTAAATTTATTCCAGGGAAGAATGGATGCTTTATCCATCCAGTGTACTGTTAGTCTCAACCAAAAAATATATTAAGTGTGAACACTAACATCACGATGAATGTTGCACCAAACATAAATATGATTCATCTTATATTAGATAAAAATTGGATTGCCCAGACACTAATTGATCAAATTAGCCAGACTCTGATTAAAAAAAATGTTTTCTCCAGGAGAAATTTAATAAAGGGAGGAAGCTCAAATTACATCACAATTTATCATATGCAGAACAAGAATGTAAAAATACTTTAACACACATAGAAATGAGTTTAAAACTAATTTTAAAACAGAGGGCGAGAATGTTTGCATATTACTTACCGTGTCTATGATACGGAATGATAGCTTTTTGTGAGGGAAAATTACCTGAAAATAAATTGAATATCATCGGGAGAATTATACTATAAAAATAGAAAGTTACAACAGGAACATCATTAAGAAGTGTATTATGATTCTCATCTGAGATCTGACAGTCCCTGTAGAGGCAAATTTATTACCGGTAAATCTGGAATAGGAATTCTCTCATAGATCTTTAATTGCAATGATGGAACCTCAGCTTTATCTTTAGCATTTGTTTCACCCACTTCCTTGGTATATAGTAGAATCAATTCTTCAAATGCTGGTTCCTATTTTGAGAACATGTAATCAATTTTTCCAGCATAATTATATTATTATAACCAAGAGACAAAAAAACATTGCCAGTAAAGAACTTCATTAACACTTACAACTAGGAACATAAACTCCAGTACCAGAATAAAAAAATGAAATACCATGTCAACCTTTAGGAGCATTATGACACTATTTTTTTTAACTAATGATAGATATAATATATCTCCAACCTTTTGAGAAAAATGATGCAAAAGGTAAAAAATCATGAAAACATGAAGGTCACAAATATAAGGCATGTCTTCAAATAATACACAGAGGTTGAGTCAATTTAAATACATATTTGAGTAGCTCTACGTAGAATTGTAGGTAATGGGGAATACCTGCAGGACTGACTTTGAGAAAAGTATGGAAATAGAAGTTTTCAACATTTTCCAAGGGTCATTTCTGCAGTATTTCCTTGTTGCAGGTCTCCATATATCACTTAGTGATATTCTTGATAAAAAAGTAGGCCTGGAAGGAGAATTCTATTGATTGGTCATGTCAAACAATGATGCTTGAACCAATTTATCCTAAAATAAAACTAGCAAACCTAACATGAAATCAAGACAAATTCTTGTCTTTGGCAGATATTTAATTGTTTCATGCATGTAATCTATTTAAAGTCTTTGGCTTTATGCATGATTTAAAAAAAATTATTCCTCAATGGACTCAGAAAGACATTAAAATAATTTATAACCAATTACAAACTACAAAGTGAGAGTTAATGCATAAACAATGTCAACAAGCAGGTACTTCAATTGGCACTGGGCCACTGGCCCAAGTTTGTACTATTGTGGTGAGATAATGATGACGTTGAAGCAATTTATGTTAAGATATTGTTTGAGCTCAACTGCAAGCCATGAAACACCAAACCTTCAAGAATGGAGCCATGTCTGTCTCCGAAATGGATCACTCAGAAACTTGACACTCCATCAACTTCTATGACAGAATATGTTAAATTAGAACGTTTTGGAGATTGTTCAATACTTTCAGGAGATTCTTTACACACGATGGATGAGAAAGCACTCTCCAGAAAAAATTAAAAGTATTCATGATATAAAAAAGTAATATAAATAGTACTTTTATTATTTATTTAATTCTTTTGTATATAAATTACTTATGTATATACTGCATGAGAGGTAGGAGCAGCAACAATGTGAATTTTAAGAATGATGTATGTCACACAAGAAAGGATGGGATATGGAATGATTATATATGAGAAGAAATTGGTGTAGTATCAAATGAGGAAAAGATTATAGAAATTTGGTTAAGGTGGTTCGGACACATATAAAGAAAGCCAAGAGAGGCACCAGTGAGAAGAGAATATTGCATAGCTTTTAGTCCTATGAAAAGGAGGAGAGGGAAACCATGGCTGACTTTGGAGGAAGTCATCAAGAGAGAACTCATGATAAATAATATTCTTGAAGCTTTGATTTTTAATTGAATCGAATGATGTCATGTGGAGCAAACCTTAAGTATGGTTCAGGAGTGTTATTATCATTGTGAACATCAAAAGGTGTTTCTTGCAAAGGGGGAATAAGTCCTATCCAAGAAAGCAATCTCCTTAAGAGCCTTCCGCGGGGACCAACTGGTGACAAAATCCCTTCATATCGAGCTACTGCCCTCTGAGCTGCCAGCCAAATAGGAAGTTCTGCATTTGGTACTTGGTTTATACCTATTTTCTCATCTGAAACAGGGTCATTATAAAGTAGTGATTTCTGAAATACAGACAATTCATTTAACCAAAGCCTCAATCTTTCTGTCCAGTTTTGTACTTCATGTTTCTGACTGGCATTTTCGTAAAGCTGCAAAAGAGAAGAAAAAAACATGTTAACTGTTATACCTCACACATAAAGTACAAAATTTGAAAGATAATTTTTGAAAAGATAGACATAGCCATCATCTCATGTATAAGCCTAAATATGACATGGCCAAACCAGAGTTATTATTCAAGTAACCATATGGAATGCTCTTATAGATAGATTGACAACTAGGATTCAGTTGAATAAACACATTTTACTGATAAACCGTGTCAAAAGATTTATATTTTGTGCAAGTAAGGAAAAAATGAGAGAAAACTATTTATGGCCCTCATAAAAGTAAAAGACAACAGTCAACATTAGAAAATGCAAGAACCTCTATCATGGAGACATAAATTGTTGCATGATCATACATGGTCTTAAGTTGATTAAAGTCATTAAACACATTTTACACATAAATGTACACCGTGTCAACAGATTTATATTTTGTGCTAGTAAGAAAAGAATGAGAGAAAACTATTTATGGCTCTCATAAAAGTAAAAGGCAACAGTCAACATTAGAAAATGTAAGAACTTCTATCATGGAAACATAAGCTGTTGCATGAATTGAAAAACAAAATAAATTCAATGATTTTTATTCATGTTTTCGGTATACAAAATACTTTACTTTATTCTTATAGTATTTTACTTCTACAACTCAGGGGCTAAATAAGGGAGTTTACCAATCACGGGCAAAATTAAGGAAGTCCTAATTATACAATATTTTGTACAACTATGCAAACCTCTAATTTAGCTAATCAGATATCTTCATTTCAACACTCCCCCTCAAGTTGGTATATGATAAATGTCATACATTCCCAATTTATCTAACAACCTGCCAAAAATTTGAATTGTCACAACTTTGGCAAGAATATTTGTCAGTCATTAGATCGAATATTAAGCAATTCCAAAATATTCTCATCAAGCTTTTTTTTGATAAAAAATCCATCGACCTCCACATACTTCATACAATCATGTTGGACAAGGTTGTGGGCAATGTCACGTGCAACTTTATTATCACAATACAACTGAATGAGACGTGTGTACATATCCTAAATCCCGGAGAAGTAGTCTAAGCCACAAACTTTCACAGAGTCCAAGAATCATTCCTCGCTTCTGTACTAGATCTAGCTACAACACTCTACTTGTTTCTCCATGTGACAAGGTTATCTCCTACAAATGTGAAGTATCCAATTGATCTTCTATCATCAAGAGCACCTGCCCAATTTGCATCAGTATAAACTATCACATCCTGTTAGTTGGAGTTGTTCCTGAATAGAATTCCTTTTCTAGGAGTAGCCTTTATGTATCATCTGTATGACAGCATCCATGTGTTTTTCACTTGGATTGTGCATGAAATGACTAACCACACTAAGAGCATAAGCTAAATCTGGTCTGGTTTACATGCTGTCATCCCAGTTTCTTTCAACAAATCCAATGCGTACTTTTGTTGAGATAGAAAAATGCATGACTTTGATCTTAAGACCTCAATTCCAAGAAAGTACTTCAAAGGTCTAAGATCCTTCATTTCGAATTCCTTTGCTAGATATTCTTTCAACACCTTGCGTTCCTCTAGAACATCTCCTGTGGCTGTGACTACTAGAGCTTAGACTTCTTTTTTTTCTGAACCCTTAAAGATCTTCGCTAGAAAGATGACAGAAAAAACACCAATTGGACCGTCGTAAACAAATTCAACTATGACATGTGATCACAAATAATGGAGATGCACATTGTAGAGAGGGAAAAATTGTCCTACATTTGCGAGAAAGTGAAGCCTCCAACAAAAATGGTATGCTAAAAACCAAAAGGTCAAAAAATGGTTGCTAATTTCCATGAAACCAGAAATCTTGAAAAGGTATCTACGATTACCCACTGCCCTTGATATTTGGTATGCTTTGTCAAAGACGTTCTATGATGGAAATGATGAGCTACAAGTGTTTGCCCTGAATCAAAGGGCACTGCAAAACAAAATAATAGAACACTAACTCAATATTATGGGGAGCTAGTTGAGATTATTAGGGAATTGGACCATCGTGACAAAATAATCATGAAGGATCCATATCAAAAGTTAATTGAGCGATTGAGGATACATATATTCCTTGTTGGACTGGATGATGGTTTTGAGCAAGCTTGAGGAGAAATCTTGTGCAAGAAAGTAGCACCTGATTTAGAAGAATGTTGTGCCTTGATTCGACGACAGACAAATGAACAATGTTGAAGACAGAAGATATCAATTCAAATACTACAAGTGTACTCAATGTAATAAGAATAGGCACACCAAGGCATGGTACTTGCTACAACTACAGGTAGTGATGACTTCAATGGTAAGGACTTAATAAATAAGCACATCCACTATTTTGAATAATGCATGGATAGAAAACTGACTTGTAAGGTAAGGATTATCTCTCACTTATATATAGTACGTGGATAAATGGTAGATGACGATGATCATTTTTAAATGATTTACAATAGGTGGTGTTTAGATTTTTCCCAATACACCTCATCACGTCTATCACTATTAGACTTAATGCGTGAATGAACGGTAGGTGACCCTTTTTAAATGATCCATAATAGGTGAGACTTGGATTTTTCCTAATATAACCCTCACACCTAATATTATTGAACTTGGTGCATATATAAATGGTGGATAACCCTTTTTTAGTGGATCTAGAATGACTTCAATACCATTTTAGAATTTGGATTTTATGTCGGAACTTGAGTTTTTCCTAATGTATGGAGAATGAAAGTACCACTGGAGAAAGTTATAATTTCAGTTATGAATAGAATCATAGATAGTTGATATGCTATATAATTGGAGAGAATTATGATTCAATAAAACCTAATGAACATATTTTTCCACTTCAAGAACAAATTAATTAAAGCCAAAAAAAAGTGACCAAAATTGATTACAAGTTTGCTTGCTTGACTAATCTTTCTGCAATTTGACTAATTTCTTACTTAAATATACATACGTTTCTGAATTTCCTAATTCCTCTCTTATAACATTTGTGTTATGCATTTCAAGCATCAAAATAGTCAAATGTTATGTGTGAAGCATATATTGAGGTATATTATAGACATAGTTAAAAGGAAATCATAGACATAGCTAAAAGGATATCAGTTTCTTCTCACAAATTTTTTTTCCACAATCTCAACTCTCCAATCTAACTATAAAATAAGATTTTATTATACCAAGAGTCACCAGATACTATAATGGAGTACATAAAGTGTAAAAGTATTTCCAGTGTGACTAGTTTACTTGACTGAACATATGTGATCTCACTTGTTTTCTCAATAAGACCATACATATCTTACATGCTAGTGTATTCAAATAAGGTTCTAATCTAGTTTAAATTCCCCTGTAACATATTCTACATATAAGAAGATCAAAGATTATGTGCCTAAATTAACTACATTGCGTGGATGAACATAAAGACAATGTCTTAAGTTTCTTAGTCTTCAAAATTCTTATAACTTTTACCTCATGACTCTAAATTTCCTTTGCATAATCTCTTGTTTGCTAAACATTTAAATATCAATAGAAGATTGCTGAAATTGGAAGTATTTAAGCCATATTTGATGTACCTCCTGAAATATCTATACAAGATATGGTGAGGTATTTATGCATGAAAATATGTGTAAAGAATCTTCTCTTTCCCATGCCTGAAAAATGGCATGGTTCTGTATATCTACACACAAAAATAAATGGTAAATGATGGAACTACCACAAAAATATAACCTCACTCATCCAGGTGCCAAGTTTTTTTAGTGGTTTTGATAAAACATAGAAGGTTCTTCGTAGAAGTTTAGACTGTAAGTAATCCAGTTTTTCAACTATTAATAAGCCCTTCTGCTTCTCTGTTGCATAACCACGCCTACAAAAGAAAAAAGACAATACATTACTATTAGATAACAGAAAGAATATGTTAATTTATATAATTTGCGTTACTTTAGTCCACTTCCACCTAAAGAGATATTAATTGTTTCTATCTGGAAGGTTACCTAAACCAGAAGATTTACTGACCAATTAGAACAGATATTTGGTCAATTTCCATTCAAATAATTACAAAAATAGTAATAATGATAATAGGCTTAAATATGTTTTTAGTCCCTCAAATTTAAGATAAATTTGTTTTTGGTCCCTCAAATTTAAAACTGTTGTTTTTAGTCCCTGTAATTTTCAAAAATCTTGTTTTAGTCCCTTAGGTCACCAATAACATATTTGAAAGTGACTAATTAAGACAGTTATGCAATATCAACCGAATTTAATGTGATATTTTCACTAATAAGAACACCAATAGGTAGATTTTATGCAATAATTTTTTATAAATTTCTTAACAAAATTTGAATAAAAGGACTAAATTAAGATTTTTTGAAATTACAGGGACTAAAAACAACAATTTTGAATTTGAGGGACCAAAAATAGATTTACCCTAAATTTGATGGACTAAAAACATATTTAAGCCATTATAATATCATGAGTCAACTACCCCAATAGCTTAAATTATTAGGTGAAAACACATGAATGATTTTATTTTATATTATATTTAACACAGCTCCTCTGAGCATGAAGAAATTTTCTTAAAAAAATGCAACAATTGAAAAATCATAAAGCAAACAGAATGCAAGTACATTATTTCACTAATCAGGAATCAATGACACAACGAAATTCATTTAATTGTTTGAAGCATTAATATTGAAACTATCATGCAATCCCTAGCATTTCATAGGAATATTTCATTTAACCCTCTCCAAAGTTAAAATGATATATATGCTAATACGCATATCAAGGATTCAAGATTAATTTTTGAAATTTGATGTTAAATTCAATACGAAAGAACAAACATGCAGAAATAATGTGTATGGAATTACCTAAATATTATGGCATTAGACTCATATGCTCTCTTCCAGTCAACGTATATTGGCAAGGTAAGGAGATAGTCTGTGTTCAATGCAGACGTTAACATTAGGTCCCTAGCTGACAGTTCTTCAAATTGTGCATCCGAAAGAAGCTGCATGAAAGCACATTGGAAACGAGTAGCAATGATAACTCTGCCAGCAAATTTGGAATAATGAGTCAATCAAAGCACCGTTTTGAACAAAATGGAAACAGAGCTACAAAGAAAAAGGAAATGTAAAGATGAAATGAATAATACACAAATAGACATCTACTTTTGTTTAAAGATACCTACCCTGGCCTTTAGATTATGTCCACAACTTAATATAAAATGTTAAAACATAATCTACTCTTCTCAAGTTCGCTTTGATTTTGAGATTTCTGATTTGGTCTGCCAATGAAGGATCTAAGGAACCTAATTTGAAATTAGAAGGAACCCAATTCATTTTAGGAAAAAAATATGCTTAGAGAGATAAAAATGAGTTTATTGAGAGAGTGATAAAGTTGGGATACAAACAAGATCCCATGTAGTTAAAACTAATGAATATTATAACCCTCCTTGATAAATATATCCCTTCCACACAATTATCATAACATAACCCCCTAACAATAGTATCATAATTATTGATTGGATTCACTGACTAATTCTACTGATTAAAAGGTTAGGTCTTTTGTTTGAAAAGATTATTGTTGGAAAAAAAACAAAATCTCAAATCCTTAGAACAAAAAGAGAAATAACAGTTTATAAAGTAGTTAGAAGCCTTTTGAGTGATAACCAAAAGTAAAATCATGAGAGTGAAAATTCAAGATGAACAATATCTTACCATTGTGAAATTATGTATGCAAATACCCTAAATAACCGATAAAACAATAAAGATATAATCCTCTTCTTGATAAAAGTATATCCCTCTCAATCAAATACAAACCCAGTAACCCTAACTGACACATGAAGTATACATTCCTCTAATTTTGATTATTTTCCAGCTTGTGATCCTCTTTAGAGGAAGCACATTAATGATGATAATGTATGAAGTTTTAAACTACATTTACTCGAACTTCCTGGCATAGTTTTTTATTCTATTTTCATCTACAGTTGGTGAAATGAATTAAAAGAAGTGCAATGTTTGGCCCGTATTAATTAGAAATGAACAGAATGGTGTTGTTGGGACAAACCTGGAACCCGTGTCATAATCTTTTTTGGTAGCTATGTCGAGAGATCGTAAAAGAGCATTGAGGTCCAAACCAGGGTAGGGAAGTATAGGTTTTTCCCGTTGATCCTGCTGCTGCAAAATATCCTGATAGAGCTTCCCTTCCTCCTCAATTCTAATGAGGTCATTGGTAACAACCATGTCCGAATCTTTCCCATTGGGCACAACTTGTGTCTCTGAATTGCGTGTTTGGAGAGAACTATTGGTAAGGTGATAATCGGAACGCATCTCCTCTAAGATACTTTTGTGCTCAGCATGAAGTATGGAGTCTAAGCATCTGTTAATAATGTTGAGTGTGAAGAAAGAGAGAATAAATGAACATTGAATTGAGAATGAGATGCGTGCATGCATAAAGAGAGAGGGAGAGAGACATACGAGGTGAGAAGGCGAAAGTGATGGGCATCAGCATCGTGTTGGATTTGGTTAAACATGGTAGAGAGTATAGCATCTAGAAGTTGGGACTTGGAAACAGGGATGTGTTTCTGTCTGGGGACTTGTATTTTGGAAATTCCCACTTCATCATCATCATCATCATCATCATGGTCCCGTGGATTTTTACTTTTAGAGTTGGTGGTGGTGCTACTGCTCTGTTGATAGGGTGGCTCGACGAGGGACATTTGCTGAAGCCGTGAACAAGGAAGCCTGATACAGATGCTGCCATAAGCAATAGCATGTGATTGTAAAGACGAAGAAGGAAACAATTGTGAAATTGGAACAAGAGCCTTGCTCGCACAAGCACAACAATATGACATCTGGATTCCTCACTTCGATCGCTCACCGCATCACTTCATGTCAACTGCTACTGCTACCCTCCTCTCCACATTCTTGATAAATCGGTATCCTATATTGTATGGTTCTCAAAATTACCCAAAACGCACATCACACTCATTAAAACTATATCTTTATCGAATACTCCTTAAATTTTACACTACATGTGATGTCAGTAACGTGCTTTTGTGATTTTTTTAAAATTTAAATAATAATGAGGGATTAAGTGATTTGCGAGAATAAAATAGGATAAAAAATATATATACAAAACCTAGCACATACAAAATATAAAGATTAAAAATCTATTTTGGTCCTTTATAATATTTTTTTGTTTCAATTTAGTCACACTTTAATTTTAAGTCTCAATTTAGTCTCCAATAATTTAAATCATTGCAATTTGAGACTTCCGTCTAAATGATTTAAACGGAGTTAACTGATAGCCACGTGGATGCCACGTAGATGCCACGTAGGTGGATCCTAAAATATTTGAATACACCTAGAACCAGAACGACCCGTTCTGAAACCTGGAACGGGTCGTTTCAGATGCAAAATTAACACACCAACAGTGTAACCAGAACGGGCCGTTCTGGTTTCAGAACGAGCCGTTCTGGTTCCAGAATTTCGTGCAAGTAACCCAAGTACAGAACATTCCAAACACTAGATTTGGTAATATTGTTAACGGGATTGATAACTTCAATTGCTAAACATTTGGACTATACAGTGTATCATTAAGGACGATGCAGTGTATCACTAAGGACAATAGTAACAAGTTTTATTTCATTGTTAGTCAAACTGGAGTGAACCACTTACTACCAAATTGACACTATACAGTCAAGGATGAAACGAAACAGTGTTTCCCCTTGAAGTCATTGACGATATACCCCAACAATAGCAACCTGTTCATGAGGAGGTACAACCTGAATTTTTGTGGTTTAGAGTTTCCCTTCAGCGTTACCAAGATGATTTCCTTTCTCAATAATTTTTTTGAACTTTTTTAGTGTATGTTATGTTCTGAATTTTTGTTTTCAGTTTCTGAACCATGTTTCTATCTTTGAATTTATGATATATTATGAATTTTTATTTTCAATTTTTGAATCGCATTGCGGTATTTTAGTCAAGATTTTGAACTGGATAAGTTCAAATCAAAGAAGGATTTTGGAAGGTCTTATCTTATTTGATTTTTTTTTAGTTTTATTCATAAATGAATATTAATTTATTGTATTTTTTATTTATTATATTTTTATTAATATAGATATAATAATAATAAAAATACAATAAAAAACATGAAGTTGGCGTTCTGAAACGGGTCGTTCTAAATTCAGAACAGTCTGTTCTAACAGCAGAACGGCCCATTCTGGTTTCAGAACGGGCTGCACTCATATTGTGTTAAATTTGTATTTGAAACGGCTCATTCCAGTTGCAAAATTAACACACAACATGTGCATGCAGAACAGGCCGTTCTGATTTCAGAATGAGTCGTTCTGGTTCCAGGTGTATTCATGACATTTGGCATCCACCTATGCATTTACGTGGCATCCACGTCAGCAGAAATTAACTCCATTTAAATCATTTGAACGGAAGTCCCAAATTATAATGATTTAAATTATTAGGAACCAAATTAAGACTTAAAATTAAAGTGAGACTAAATTAAAACAAAAAATTATTATTAAAGACCAAAAGAAGTTTTTAACCATGTATAAATGTAAAAAGAGTGAATGATTATTAAAAGGTCCGAAACAAAATTGGTACCGCCCCAGTAAATTTTTATTTTTTTATTTTACAAAATTGGTAAGAAGGGAGGCAGGGGATTTATGTAGGTGTCAGTCTGCCAGGTGAGGAAGCCCCAAGAAAACAAAAAGTAAAATGATGTTAACTTTCGTAATCATCAGTAAAATTAACCAGTTGTTTGGTAAAGGAAATAAGACAGTAAAAAATTAAAAGGCGATAGACTTTCATGTTATATATATATATATATATATATATTTCATGTTTTTTACTTCTTTTTATATATTTCTCTTTTATTAAATAATCAAATTTATGTTTTATTTTTTATTTATTTTCAACCACTTCTTATTTTTTTTACTTTATTTTCTATTTATTTCATTCTTCTTTATCAAATATAAGTTAAATAAAATAATGTACACTTAATTAATAATAAAATAATCTTACCAAAAATGAAGACGACAAATATAAAAATATGTATTTCTTTTATATAACGGTATACATTTAACATATAAAATACTCGTTAAAAATTATTTAGTATAAAATAGATAAAATTAGATTTTTGGTTTTTATTTTTTTTAATCTACAAATTTGATCCTTTTGTTTTAAAATAAATATATATAATCCCATAATTTTAAAACCATAATGGTGTGTTTGGATGAGGAATTTTATAAATTCAAGGAATTTTAAATTTTTTGTATTTAAATTACTTTGATTTCAATTTCTATCATTCTTAAAATATTTTGTTTGGATAAGTCAATTCAAATTTATCAAATTTTAAATTATTGGGTTGGATATGATAATTTGATTCATTTTAAAAATATACTTATATGTTGAGATTTTTAAATTAAATTTTACAAATATAAATATTAACTAATTTTTAAATATTTAATAATTTTAAAAATTAATATTAGATAATATTTAATAATTTTAAAAATATTTTTGAATATTCAATAATTAAAAACATGAAGTGATAAGAAATAAGATAAAATATATAAGTGAAATAAGAAAAAAAAATATGAAAAATTTCAACTTCTTACTCTTTTTTTGAGAATTTAAAATTCTACTATTTCAAGGAATTTCACAAATACTTGAATTTCAAATTTATTATAAATTCTTTATCTAAACAAGGTATTTCATCATAAAAAATTTGAAATTCTTTAAATAAATGAATTACTTCATTTAAATAACAATTATTAGTTAAAATAAATATAAATGATTTTTTTAAATATCATATTATTATATGTCAAATCAGTATCATGGCTATTAAAAAAAAATATTAAAAAAAATCTTAAATCACTTACTTGATAACAAGTCACATCTCAACATTGAAAATTAATAACAATAAACACTAAATTGATACAAAATTCTGTATTTTTAAATTGTAACTTGACTAAAATAGGATGAAAAAATACACAATTTAACTTATGAAAAAAACTCTACAATCAATGTGTATAAGTATACAGTGGGAAGGGAGGCTAGTGGTCCAGGTAGTGACGGATCCAGAAATTTTAGATAGTGGGGGCAATATTTATTTATATATTTGTAATATTAAATTTTTTACATATATAACTTTTAAAAGCATAAATATATTATCATAATTATTTTTTACAATTTTTTATATTTACGATTACAAGTAAATATGAAAATAAATTAGGTTAGACTAAATTTTATTATAACTTAATAGGTTTGAACCTAATGTTTTTAAAAAATATATATCTTAAGTATGACTTATTTATCTATCATAGATATTTTTTAAATTTTTGGTTAGAATTACAATTCTAAAGACCTACTTTATAATAATTCAACATTATTAAAAATATAAAATAAATATGTTAAATTTTATAAAAATCAAGTTTAATTTATTTATGATATAAACATGTTTTTAATATCTAATACGTATTTTTAGATGATAATTTATTTTATATTTTATAATAACAATTCTAAATAGAATGAACATAAATTTTTTTTATTTTTTTATTTTAATTTTTTTAATCAATATATACAATAAATAAAAAACACAAAAGGTAAACATGCATACTGTAAATTTTATTTTATTAAAAATTGATTTTTTTTAATATATTACATTATATATGTGAGTATTAATATATATATATATATATTATAATTAAAATCCTTTAAGTTAAAATATTATTTTTATTTTTTAAAATATTATTTTTTAAAATAAAAAAAAAAGTATGTCTGAAATAGTAGTGGGGGTAAGTGCCCCCACTACTCTCAACCTGGATCCGCCCTTGTAAGTATATAATTCAAAAAATTTAATAAATATAAAAATAATTCAGTAAAGAAAAAGTATAAAAATACAAATAATTAAGATGATATTTAATCATATAAAATTCATTAAAGTGTGTTGAGTAAATTGCATACAAAAATGTAACTTTGAAAACATCATAATAAATAAAGTTGCAACAATAATATCTCTTTATAGTTTGTTAAAAAAAACATATACCATGATCGGTGATTAATTGGTATAAAATTGTTTCAATTTAGTTGATTTATGAGATTTTAGTTATTATAAAGAGAGTTTTGTTTCTTATAATAAAAGATACGTGTAATATATATATATATATATATAT